CATTCAAAACCTACTCTATATTCATTTCGACGACTTTTCTAACAATAATTAATCAATATATATATATATCGTAGATTATAATATAGAAAGATTTAAAAATAATGTTACATGTTGTCATCGTTTAAAGATGTTATATAGCGATCAAATGCCTCGACAAATCGTTCGATATTGCTATTAAACGTTCCATTCGGCTTAGAAAATTATTACGATGGGATCATCGCTATGGCCAATAATTCTTTTAAAGACATAACTACCTGGCAATGGTTGCTGATCCAACGACTACGACTATAAGACGACAACACGACAAGAACACTCTTCTTCTTTTTCTTCTTTTTCTTTTTCTTCTTCATCATCATCATCATCATCATCATTATCATCATATTCCTCAACGCGAAAAGCGCCGCCACGAAAATACCGCTTCCGGTTGGCCTAGATTCCACATTTACAAGTTTCATTGCAGCGTACCGATGGAAACGGTACCAGCAAAGAAAGATAGAGAAAGAGAGAGAGAGAGAGAGTAAGTGAGATAGAGAATGATAGAGAAAAAGAGATAGAGATAGGTAAAGAGAGAAAGAGAGAGTAGTAGCAGCGAATCCCGTTCAAAGCGGCTCCATAATTTATGTATTCTACGGCCACCCCTGGTGCGCGTCCTCGTCATCCTCGAATTCCGCTCTCTCCTCTCTTTTAAAATTCCATTAAGAGTGCAGTAGCGCTTTTTGTCGTTTGCTCCCGCTGCCCGTTGTTTCACTTTGCATCCCATATAACCACCACCACCACCACCACCACCAACACTACCACCACCGGGGAGGGATCCATGATGCTTCCAGGCACCATCGATCGATTATTCAAGTCACTCATTCCACGCACTATCTTTTTCTCTCTCTATCCTTCTCACTTTCTCTTTTTCTCTCTAAACCCCCGTCCCCTACCTCCCCTACTCCCTTTCCTTCTCTTTTTTTTCTCTCTCTCTCTCGGTGAACATTCAACTTGTTCAAACTCGACGTCCGACTCCGACATCGATCCTTTTAATCGAGCAAACCACGAATTACCGTGCTATCAGGATTTTAATCGGTGACGATTCTCTCTCACTCACTCACACACATTCACTCGCTCGCTCGCTCACTCGCCCTCTCTCTTTCTTTCTTTCTTTCTTTTTTTCTCTCTCTCTCTTTCTTTTCCTTTCTTTTCTACTCTTTTCATTCGTGTTTCGTTCACCTCTTTCTCTTTCTGTTCATCTCGCTTCGCTTATCCTTGCCTCACCCCGGTCCACGTCGAAGTTACCCACGTCGACGGGCCGCGACGTAATTTTAGACAGTACACCAGTGACAGTCTTTATAACGCGCGTGAAGTATGAACCACTTCCGGTGGGGCTACGTCATCCTGCATGTCCCCTTGCACTCCAGTGCCTCCGATTCTAAATCTAGATCTAAATTTTCGCGGCTTACTCGTGTATTCTATCTCTCTCTCTTTCTCTTTCTCTTTCTCTTTTTTTTTTCTCTTTTTCCATTTCACTCCGATCCCCATAGAAAGTCAATCTCGTTCTTAATAAGATTTCTTTCCCGTCATCTTTCTTTTTTTTCTTTAACTTTCGTTTCATCCTCCAACCCTCCCATCCCCCACGCACCTCTCATCATTTGTGAAGAATAACTCATATCTAATGTTTAACGTAAAAATCTAATATAGATATTTCGGTTATTTATAAATAATATTGAGAAACATGTATAAGAACAACAAATGATTAATAAACGATTAATCAGAGTGATTAATTAGCAACAACAACCCCCTACCCCCTTTGTATGAGGATCTGTCAATGAATACTTTTCGTTAAGTATCTATGATAATGTAATAGTTTTTGTCCGGTTAGGAGGACAATTATGGGGGCCTAGTATATAGTAAGGGGTAGTAGGTATGTTTCGGTAATTGCGTGGCTAAGTTTAGGCGGTGCAGTTGGCGTCAATGCGCGGATGCATATTCAGAACGGGGCTCCTCATATTCTTATGCTCACTTACTAAACCGGCCGGTAACTTGTGTGCGTGAATGTGAATGGAACTTGCTGGCACCCCGCCTGTTTATATTTAGCCCCTGTGGGCGGTATAGCTGTCATGGATACGTATCATCGGCATAACTGAACTTTGCAAATGAATAATGAAGTTCCATCGGCTTCTCCACTTTGCCGTTTCTTCTTCTTCTTCTTCATCATCATCATCTTCTTCTTATTATTCTTATTCTTAATCTTCTTATTCTTCATCTTCTTCTTCTTCTTCTTCTATTTGTGCTTCTTCAGATCGGAGAATCCCAATTGTTATTGGTTACACATGGATGCGTACGTTTTAAAAATAAAACTGTCCAATCCGATTGTATTATACGATTAAATTCTAATTCAAAAATATTGCATAAATATATTATTATCGATTCACTCGTTGATTTTAATATATTTGTCGTATTATATTATTTTAAATTAATATAGAATAACAAAAAAAAAGGGAATTCTATGTGAAAATAGGATAGAAGGAAAAAAAGAGAAAAATGTAAAAAGGAATCATCTTATCATCGATCGTTGGTGGTTACTCGTCGTAAAAGATAAAAGACGTGCTGGATTAGTACGGTAACAACTATAATTCACCGTACGTCTTAGCTCTTTGTGTTCGCAATCGTTTCCCCTTTCACAGGTCTTAAAATCGTTAGAAATCGGTTCCGTGAAGAGGAAATAAATCGAGTAGCAGAGAGAATACGGGACGTATAAAATAGGATTTAATTTGTCACCGATTCGAGTTTATACGAGGTATACCAGAGAACGGAACACGCATTAAGGTGTGCTTTATTCTATTTTACCTAGCATTGTGTGGCCGACACACACGGATGCTAGTTTAACGACGTCCCGTCGTTACGACAAAGGACACACGCACTTGTCTTGTACAAATCGTAAATCACTTTCACCGATCTCGCTTTAAAAGCATCGAGCCATCTAGGATTAATTTCCCTCTATCTCTCTCTCTCTCTCTCTCTCTTTCTCTTTGTTACTAGAAAGAAGAGAAGGATGTCGCCGCGTTAGAGAGTAGAAATGAACAAAAAAACAATAAAAAAATAAAGACGGATAGAGAAAGAGAGAAAAGAGAGGAGAGATAGGTACCTAATATTTGCATGTGACGCCTCCGGGTTGGTGGTGCTCGGAGGCTGGATGAATAAACGTCTTCCTTATCGTCTAAAATAGACTTTAAACTTCAAGCATATCTGGATCACAGCCAGCTAGCTTGTAGGTAAGAGAGTACAATGGTATTACCTTTGTTAAATTGTTACTATGGTCTTAAAAAAAAAAAATTTCATGGGAGATAAAGAAAGAGTGAGAGAGAGAGAGATAGAGAGATAGAGAGATGGAAAGACAGAGAATCTTTCTCAACATTCGTAAACATGAATTATAACGATTAACGATTACCCTTTGTGTCGAAGGTGTAGCAAAGATCGTTGTTCACACAGTTAAAGCTATTCATTCTTTAACGATGATGACTATAGTACTCCGAGGATAATACATCGAGCAATTATCCTAACAGAAAACTAATGGCTGTTATCTCGAACGCGGTGTGTCTGTCGCACGTTTGTTTTATCCTTGCCCCCTTGTGCTTAATCGATACTTGTGCTAACATAAAGAGATACGTTTTACTTGTGATCATCGAGTTTCACATATTATATATGTAATATGTTGTAAGTTCTTAGATTATTTTCTTCTTCTATTTCCCACACACGCCATTCTTGTTATATATATATATTTATTTTCATTACCACAATGAAATATCATCTGTTGTTTGTTTTCTGTATTTACCTTTATCCTTGCCTTATTTTTTGCATTTAAAATATACTCAACAAATCTCGGAAGATAAGCCTTAATAATATGTTTTCTCGTAAGATTGATAAAAAGTTTGTTTAAATTCTAAATAATTCACAATTTAATTGTTCTGTAGTATTTTCTAAACAAAATAAAGCAAAAAATGATCGAGTTAAATCGCAGATTATTGAATTTCAAATTCGTTCAGCTCTGCTGTTTGGTTTTTTTTTTTTTATCTTTTTCTTTCTCGTATTATTATTTTCTTGTTTTTAAAATCGATTATAAGGTATGTAATCGGTAATGATATTATAAATTATCAGGAAACCGATAGAATCTAACACAACCGCGAGAAAAACAATTCTTTGGTTTTGTATTAAACAAAAAATAACAATAAAAACTAGGTTACGCACAGATAAGTGATCTAATGATGAATCAAACGAATAGGAATCAATAAATTAGGATAATCCGTGCATAATTTTGATTAAACGAGGATATATTTTTTTGTCTAAAAATGTTACGAAACTGGCTTTACTAATTATTAAATGGGCTTCCGCATGAGCACAAAAGATACGACATTTAATATCATTCCCTATCTATCGAATAAAATCAGTTGACGTTTGCATCGCTAATACTATCGGTATCATTTTAATTTTTTTTGTGAATTTTTTTTTCATCGACATATTTCGTCATTGTTTCATTTATTAAAGTTGCTGTTATAAGAAAAAAAAATGAAAAAAAAAAAGAAAAAAAAAAAATGGAATATCCAATTTTTCAACGTAAACGACAAAATAACATCGTCATTGTATGATCGTATGTCAATCAATGTCCTTTTTTTGAAAATAATCATACACTTATGTAACTATAATATTATACTTACTTATTATGTCAAAAGGAATACGAAATGTTCGTGTAAGGTGTTTCATTAATTAAATGTAAATTAATAGAAAAAGAAAAGAAAAGAAAAGAAAAATAACAAGAACAAGAATTAATATAACGATTAAACTTTAAATGCGTCACCATAAATAAGAATAATAAATGAAGATAATTATATTTTAAGGATCGATTGTGTTCCTTTTTTTTTCTTCTTCTTCTTTTCTGAAATATGAAAATCGACGCGATCATCGATTGTGTACATTATTATAATTTTGTTTCTTTTCTCTTGGATCTGTTTATAATCCAGTCGTATCCACCGCACATGAGCGTAGACTCGCAAAAACAAATGGAAATGCAACGGATGCAAACGGAACACTTGAAACGGCAACAAGAACACATCATGCAACATAACATACAAGAGCTGCAGGCACAAATGACAAAGAATCAGCTGAGCATGTCGGGACCGCAATCGTTGATGTTCCTACCGTTTCTCGAACAACTCAGGCTACCGGTCCAGTCAACGATGCCACCACCGCCGGCCACGTCGACCGCGCCCACTGGCAACAAGCATATCAACTCTATAGCCAATGTACGTATATTATTTATTTATACAATATTATTTCTCTCATTATATTGCAAATATTATTTTCGAATTGGAAAATAAAATCAATTGTTTTTATTTAACAATGCTATGGAATATCTTTTTTTTCTCCAAACATTTCTATCCGTGTATTCGATTCGATACGTTATTCACGCCACCCCTCGTCGTCAGATCTAATTTTTTTAATATTTAACTTTGTTGTAATATAATATATAATTATGTTATAAGCTCTGCACGAGATGAATTGTTTTTTTTTTCTGTACAATTTATTTTGGAAATTATTTTCAAACGCGCGAACTTTTAATTTATTCTAATAATTACTATGTTATAAATAATGTAATCTATTATGACATTTAATTCTTATATACGTTATAATTGAGATATATATGAATATATATTGAAATAATATTTTAGAAGAAAGATAAATATATATATATATATATATATGTATATCTTTGTTTCTACAGATGATTGGTAGCCACCGGGAAGGTCCGAGTTGGGCAACCGCACATTTGGCGCAGATGACGACGCAAATGGAAAAAGATTCGTCGCCTACGCCAATATCATCGGCTGTTGCACCTACGGCTGCCCCTTTACAGGATCTCGATGCACCATTGAACCTCACCAAACCGAAATCCTCCTCGTCGGGGGCGACAGCGTCTTCCTCGTCGCCTGGTAGTGATTCGCATTCAACCGGTGCCGGAAGTAGTGGTCAACAGGAACAACCATTGGCTGCGACAGCACCGAAACTTTTCCCTCCTGGTCTTCCAATACCCAGGAATTACCTATCAACGTTACCCTACGCTGGTCTTCCACCACATCTTAGCTCCCTACCTTCGCCTAGTGAGTTATTTCATTTATCAACATTTTTTTCATGAATCATTTGTCGAGATTGAATTACATAAAGATTGTCGATAATTAACGTATTGTTAATTTTATTCATTAAATTCATTCAAATATATAAGAACAATGTTTAATATTAAACGTATCAAGCTGCCAAATATTGTACGAACGATTATTTGACAGGATCATGGTACATTTGGTGTTTTAATTTTATAAAAAAAAGAAACAAATTTTTTTGGGGTAGAAATTTTCTTTATAAATAAGATTACACGAATAATATTGTAATATATTAGAGAATATAAAAAAAAAAAACAAAACGAGTCAATTTAAAATGATTTTAATGTTAAACAGTGGGTAAGGTAATGTCCAAAGACGAAGCTGGTGGACCTGGAGGTTCCGCTGCAGCTGCGGCGGTTGCAGCCGTGGAAAAGCATTTTGCGATGCACGGAATTTATGGGTTACCACCAAGCGCGGGTGCTATGCTACCCTCGCCTCAAACGCAACGACCAATCAAACACCCTGGCTCTCGAGAGGAAACGCCGCAAGAGGAACAAGATTTCCTCTCGTCTTCTCACAGTGAGTGAACGTTTTTAAAAACGGTTTATTATTTTGATAGATCGATGGAGAATATTACATATGCGAATATTTTAACGTTATGGCATATTTTTTCGAATGAGATTCTCTTCGTACGATTCGCGTTATATCGCAACTATCAATATTCTAGAAATAATTTTCCATATTAATATGAGAAAAGAAAAATATGTGTCGTATTAATAAATAAATATAATACACAGGTAACCCTTCTGTAACAGGCGCGGGTTTGATAGGTTCCTAGAAAATGCCGTGTTGTGTGAAATCGTGTTATACGTGACCCCAGAGTTCGTTTATACCCCCCTTCGCGTTATTATTTTAAGATAATTTAGTTTTGCGAAAAATGTTAAACAAAAGTCATTGTTATATCTAGTGATGTAGAAGTTAAGTATTGTACAAAAGTTTGTCGCAATTTATGAATCGTATTATGCCGAAACCGTGTTATTGGATGCCATGTTGTAGGAAGGTTATCTGTATATTATATACCTACAATACGATCGTTGGAAATGATTAATTATTTTTTATAATCTACGTTATATATATAACCCCTAGAGAGTTATGTTTATGAAATCAATATACACACCGGTGAGATTATCTAAAGCATAAGTATAATAGAATTCCCGGCAGCTAGTTATAAGTAACGCCTCTTATCGTGTGTTTGCAGTGTGGCGAGATCCCGGATACAAGGTGCCGGAAGACATAACGGAAAAAGGTAAGCAGATCGTTGAGATACGAATCGGGTTGATATTACGTTCTTGTTTTAACCGCGAGTGCGAACGAGTTAAAAGAAAAAAAAATAGAAAGGAAAGAAAGAGAGAAAGAAATATATATATATATATAGAGGAGAGAATGAGAGAATAAGAGAATGAGAATGTAAATGTGAATGTGAAAGAGTGATAGATATAGTAGAGGAGGAGCAGGTGTCGCTCACGAAATCAGATTCTGTTCTCACGAAGTTAATCGCGCGCAACATGACATCCAGGGCTTCTTCTTTCCTCAGCTAAAATGGTGAGGCAGCAGAAAAGGGAGGGTGAGAACAAACCGCACATAAAACGACCTATGAACGCGTTCATGGTATGGGCCAAAGACGAGCGACGGAAAATCCTCAAGGCTTGCCCTGACATGCACAATTCCAACATATCAAAGATACTCGGTAAATATAATAAAAAACAAAAAAGAACTGCGATTAAATCTATGTTTATCGTTTATAAAAATATGAATATTTGTTATCAGGTACTCGATGGAAATCGATGTCGAATTCGGAAAAGCAACCGTATTACGAGGAACAATCGCGATTATCGAAATTGCATATGGAGAAACACCCGGATTACAGATACAGGCCGCGACCAAAACGGACGTGTATAGTTGACGGGAAGAAGATGCGCATATCCGAATACAAATCGTTGATGCGACAACGACGGCAAGAAATGAGACAACTTTGGTGTCGAGAAGGTGGCCCGGAGATGGGCTTTCTATCGCCGGTCGGTTCGGAGATGAGCTCGCAACATCACACAGGAGGAGGTGGTGGTGGTGGTGGTGGTGGCGGAGGAGCTGGTGGTGGTGGTGGAGCTGGTCCATCGGCTAGACCTTCGGTTTCACCCCCAGCGACGATGTTGAACGGCGGGGGTGGTGGTGGTGTTGGTGGTGGTGGTGGTGGTGGTGGTAGTGTTGGTGGTGGTGGTGGTGGTGGTGTCGGTGGTGCTGGCCCAAGCTCCGATCACCCATCATTTTATTACCCTCAGGACAGTCTTTCGCCTAGTGACATGATGAACTTCTCGCCGGATAATTCGGGCTCGATCGGTGGCTACGACGCCAGTCCACGGCATCACGACGAGGATTGAAACGTAGCTGCTCCGGTTGGCCAAGCCCTTTGGCCGTCCGGAGCAACGGCGTTACCACCTTCATCCTCGACCTCCACCAGCTCGTCCTCCTCGTCCTCGGCGTACCCAGCGGTTGCAGCCGCAGCTGCGGCTGCCGCGGCGGCGGTCGCAGCTTCGTCCACCACGTCATCTTGCTCGCCCTCCTCCAGACTCGGCCACGAGTTGTATTGGTAACCAAAGCTGCGCCCGCGCACTCCTCTTCCTCCCCCACCTCACCCTAACCCTCACCCTCTCATCCTCATACTCCTTTTCCTTCTAAATCTCTTCCACGCACACAATGCGCACTCGAAGAAACAACACGCTCGATCGTCATACTCTTTTTCTCAGTCGTCTCTTCTCGCGCTTCTTATTATCTTTAAATTTTATTCATCTACTGTTTCTCCTTCTTCTTCTTCTTCTTCTTCTTTTTATTATTATTATTATTATTATTATTATTATTATTAAATATTATTATTAAATATTATTATTATTATTATTATTATTAAATATTATTATTATTATTATTATTATTATTATTATTATTATTATTATTATTATCATTATTATTATTATTATTATTATGCTTCTCTAAAGACATAGAAATAGAGAAAGAAAATAAGAGAGTGCAAGAGAGAGAGAGAGAGAGAGAGAGAGAGAGAGAGAGAGAGAGAATGAAAAATAAGAAAGAAGTCAAATTCTTAAAACCCACGTTTTTTTTCTCAAGAAACTTGTGATATAATTATTTCATCTTCTTTTTTGTTTTGTTCTTTCTTGTTCTTTACCTATCCGTGCCATTTTTCGCGTTTTTACAAATAAATCTTTTATTATTTTGTAAATCGTCACTTCGCTTTCCCGGCGTTTTATTATCAAAACGGAGAATCAAAAATTTTCGATAAGAAAATGGTAAATGAAAAACGACGTTTGTGTATCATCGTCATCTCGATGTTTATTAAACATTAAAAAAAATTATTGTAAATCGTCATCGACCGTTGTCAAACGGTGTAATTTTGTTGTCATATTATTTTTATTTGTTTGCCCTCTTCTTTCTCTTTCTCTACCCCTTTTATCTTCTTAATCATCTTCATCTTCTTCTTCTTATTGATTTTTCTCGATTCTTCTTCCCGTTCGAGAGATAAATACGAACGCGCGCCGCTAGTGCAAAAAGGTCTGGTTCCTAATTCCTTCTAATGTCGCGTTATCGCCTCGAATAATAAACAATACACGATTTATCCGTAGTACTGTTGCTGCGTGAGAGAGAGAGAGAGAGAGAGAGAGAGAGAGTAAGAGAAATTGAATGAAAGAATAATATTTAACAATTGATATTGTAAATCGATCTACGTCGAATTTTTATTTACGTTTTAATAACGATAATCAACTATCGAAAGCAACGTATAAAATTTCTTCTTTAGAAGAATAAATAAATAAAAAGGAAAGAGAGATAAAATAGAAAGATAGAGATGAAGAGGAAGAGGGAGAAGAAAGAGGGAGAGAAAAAAATCAAGGAGATGATAGAGGGTAGGGGAAATAAAAGAAAAAGAAATCTTAGGTACTTATGCCAATCCCCTTTCGTCATTAATTTATTATTCGATCATCATTTCAATTAAATCGATAATGCAAACAAATTTAGTCGGATTACGAGAGAATGATTTATTAAAGAGAAATATAGAAAAAGGATTAACGGACAATGTTCTTTTATTGTAATTTAAAAGAAAAAAGTAAAGAGATAAAGTTAAACGAGCAAACAGGTACGGATAATAAAGAACGACAAATATAATAATAATAATAATAATAATAATATTATTAATAATAATATAATAGTAATAATAATAATAATAGTAATAATAATAATAATAATAATAATAATATTATTAAAAATAATAGTAATAATATGATTAATAATATAATAAAAGGAACGTCGTGTGTCAATGGGAGAAGGGGAGGAGCGGTTAAAGTTTTTTAACGTTTTATTTATTTGTCGGCGAAGACGATTGATGATATGCTAACGCGAATTAAACATAAAAAGAACAAAAAAAATAAAGAAAAAAAGAACAACAACAGAGACGTGTTGCAAAAAGCGAGAAAGATAAGGAGAGAGATCTCTAAATTTGACGTGTTAGATAATTTTTGAGATTGTTATTGATGATGACGTGGTTGGGCATGGCAGGGGGTTGGATGCGGTGGCCTCTAAAAGGGTGGAGGAAAATATTATTATTAATTATAATTATATTAATAATAGCGTTTTTATATCGAATCGTTTGCGTATGAAAATAATAGAAGAAAAAAAGAAAAAAGGAACGAGAGAGAGAGAGAGAGAGAGAGAGAGAGAGAGAGAGAGAGAGAGAGAAAGAGAAAAAGAGAGAAAAAAAGAGAAAAAGAGAGAAAAAGAGAGAGAGAGAAAAATGGACGAGGGCTTTTCGTTAAGAAAAACACATGATGGTGGATGATGTTGAAGCTCGATGTGATATAATTACTTATGTGCCAAATAACGTTTTCGCGGGGTTTCGGGGACGGGTCGGGAGGGAGGGAGTTAGGGGTTCGGGGCCAGAGGCAAACGTTTCGCGGAATGTTTTACGGTTTTTTCTACGAGTCGCCCTCGTTGTGGGCTCGTTGGGGCTCGGCTGCGAAGCTCGATGATAATTATTTTACGTCTCCTTTTTCACGCCCGTTTTTGTTTTTTTTTTTTCTTTTTTTTTTTTTTTTATATCTTTTTTCTCTTGTTATTTATAATCAGTGCAATTATTATACCGCGGTACCTAATATTATAATTTTATAAAGAGAACGTAAGAAGAAGAAAACGGGGTAAAAGGGGTTGGAATAAAAGGAAAAAAGATGAAAAATTAATTTTAATGAGAGAAAGAGAGAGAGACACAAAAGAGAGAAGTTTATCGTGCGAAATAATCGAACGTTAGAGACATAAAATAACGAACGAACGAGAGACCGAATGAATTGTATTATCTACGAATGTGTGTGTGTATGTGCGTATGTGTGTGTGCGTGAGAGAGAGAGAAAGAGAGAGAGAGAGGGAAAGAGAGAAAGAAAGAAAGAAAGAAAGAAAGAATTAATTATCATCAATGTATCTGCGCCCGCGTTCTGTTATAGGGCTCGCTAAAGAAACAAGTTAAAAGAAAAAAAAAAAAGAAAATAAGAAAACAGGCAGGCAAGCAGGCAGGCAGGCAGGCAAGCAAGCAAGCAAGCAAGCAAGCAAGCAGGCGACAGATAGAGTAGCTAGCTTAATGTTGATAATAATTTATTTTATGTATATAATGGATTTGTACAATGTATCAGCGATATATTTCATGGATAACGCATGATGTGCACACAGAAGAGAGAAAGAGAGAAGAAGACACACACATGGTACACGTATATATATTATAAATATTATATAATATATATATATAATAATGACGTATATAAATATATATATATATACACGGTGGCCACATTTTCACACACTGATACGAGCGTCAATATTATTAATGTACAGTGTAACTATATTGTGATGTAATCTACGTAACTACATAATATATGCATATACGTACACCGATTATTCAAGATACGTAGAATAACGACAATTGATTGCGATGCATACTCTTATCTTCGTTTTTATTCTTTCTCCTCTTCTTTTTCTTTTACTTATTATTATTATTATTAATAATATTATTATTATTATTATTATTATTATTA